CACGGGACCAGAGAGATGTGGAGGAAGAAACCCATGTGTGCATTAGAAGATGTTTTTATGTAACCCACTGTTGTTCTAAGCAGTCAAGTAAATCTCACTGATGGTTGTCTCACAGTCCTTTGGAGAATTGGTACATAAGCCATTGCTGGTGGATCTCACCGTAGAAGAAGGCCAGAGACTAAAAGTGATCTATGGCTCCTGCGCTGGTTTCCACGCCGTTGATGTGGATTCAGGATCTGTCTATGATATTTATCTACCAACACATGTAAGAGCTGCTGCTGGGGTTGGGTTTTCTCTTTCTTTTGGGTATATCATCCCCTTCTGCCCCACAACCCTTCCGTTCCTCAAGTGGCCAACGTGTCAGGCTGTCCCTGTGGATCACTGCCATAAATTGGGTGGAGGGGTCTGAGCTTGTGCCTCATTGTCAGTCATGTCCTCACGGTCAGTAATGTCTCTATGATTGGAGGGTTCTGAGCTTGTGCCTCATTGTCAGTTGTGTCCTCACGGTCAGTAATGTCTCTATGGTTGAGAGTTGGTCACTCAGATCTGACATAGGCCGACGTGAGTGTTGCAGGGGTAGCAGCTAAATGGCCAAATGCATTGCAAGTGCCTAACAGTACAGATGGCACAACAGCCCACTGAGGAGTTTCAACAGGGTTGGCAAAGGCCAGGTGGCCTTAGATCCCAAGGTTTCCTGTTGTTCATTATGCACAGAGGTGTCAGAGGGGCCTCCCCAAGCATTACTCTTTCCAGTGCAGAGGTCTGATGTCTTCATCTGGGCTGCTTGCTGTCCATGGAAAGAAATGGACACCTCTACAGGGAAATTAATCTTGCCTGGTTTTGCATATCTGCCTTAAGGTGAGAGGATTTGTGCCCCAAGGGTTTACAGGTCTTGGTCACTGTGTTGGGTATCTAGCTCAAGAGGAGCAGATCTAGCACTTGTAAAGTCGGTGAATTTGGGACTAGATGATCTTGAAGGTCCCTTCCAACCCAAACCATTCTAAGATTCTATGAATCCCTGATTTGTTGACCAAAATCAAAAGTCACCCAGTCCTTTTTTTCCAGCACAGGGTCTGCAGCATTTAAACAAAAGCTTCTTCTCCTCTGTCTCTGTAGATCCAGAGTAGTATCCAACCTCATGCAATCATCATTCTCCCAAACACGGATGGGATGGAGCTACTGGTCTGCTACGAGGATGAAGGAGTTTATGTCAACACATATGGAAGGATAACCAAGGATGTGGTTCTGCAGTGGGGAGAAATGCCAACTTCAGTTGGTAAGTACCTCTGCTGAGCCATATGATATGGAGCAGGAGGGAGGAACATGGAGTTTGGCTTCAGTTGAAGAAACTACGATGGTGTATTATTTCTGGAAAACAACTGTGCAAAGTGAAGAGTAATCACATGGATCTGTTTTGTACTCAAGTTTTTAAGAACAAAAACCAAACAAGCAAGTTGTGGAGTTCATGATTGAAAAACTCACCGTGACCTCTGTAAGCTGCTGCAAAGTTTTTGCAAGACAAAGTCATGGAAACCTTTAGTATAAAGACATGCAAGGTGGCAGATGAGTAAAATATTGTGGGGAATTCCATGTAGTTTACAAACTGTGTATCTGATTTGATGTGTTTCATTCACCTGCAGATTGCTTATCTATCCTAGCACTACTCTCCCTCATCTCTCCAGTTCAAAGTAAGGTAGTTTTGTGAGTGGGAGCAATGAGTGTAGAAAAAGTACAAGTACAAACCAGGTTCCCTCTTACTGGTCGTGCTGCTGAGCATAGCATAGGCTGTAGTCACATTGCATTTTACCTGCTGAGGAATGCCTGCATGTATTGGGAGGTGACTGCTGATAGCTGTTGGAGCAACACAGGAGGAAATTCAAAGAAGTTTCATGCACAGCATGGTCACTCCTGTGGTGATTAACTCTTGACTAGATCTAAAAGCAAGCAAAATTTATCAGCTGACAAATTCCAGAGCCTTTGGAGACTGAAATGCTAGTGAAGTAAATGGCACTGAGGCAGCTGACACCATCTGAACATCTTGGCTGACAATTTTTAGGCTATTTGGCCCAGTTAGCACTAGTGGCATATTCAAAAAGAAATCATTTTCCATTATGATGGTATGCACAATGTTTTTGGTGTACTGTAGTAGATACTACTGTAGTGGATCTCTGACATCTCTACTGTAGTAGACAATTTGCTTTAATTCCACTGAAAATTAGTGTGAAAAAATATATAAAAAGGAAGCACTGCAAAATTATCTTTTAATTTTGCTGGCTAAGAGGTTCTTTTTATTTTTCTGTTAAGTATACATGCAAATCAGAGGGCAACTGTTCAGTGAGTTCCCATATGTCATTTTTGACAGTGTTCCTAAGACTATCCATCAAATTGCTTTTGGAATATACCTTTTCATAATGCTGATGGCTTTCCTTTTTATTTTATTTCCTTGCTGCTATCAAGAACAGGCTTTTTTTCCTCATGCTGCCACTAATCTGTGTTCCCCTGGGGTACTCTAAGGAAAAATGTTTGATTTTTTTTGCTGAATTCATGCACAAAGGGAAGTGATATGTCAAATAATGTTATTTTATTTTGAGAGCTTAACATGAACCTCTTTTGAGATACACAGAATGCTTTTCAGACCAGTTGGCTTTCTCAAGGAGATGAGTTTTTGAAGTATTACTCCTATTAAGGGAGGCTAGCTAATTTTTTTATAGTTTTCCTGTTCCCTCTCAGTCCGTGTTTTTCCTGAGAAACTCCTTCAAGGAGGGAAAATAACACCATAGGACACAGAGCTGGTGCTGGGGACATGCTGGAGTGGATAGGCTTAGTCTATTTAAACCTTGGCTTCTGCTTTCTCCTTGTCAACACCTATTTAAACTGTCTCTTTGCCAAACTTGAGAGAAAAAGCCTGTGTGGGAATTTGATGTTCTCTTCATTTAATTAAAGGTTATAAAGTTCCCTTTGTGTCATGAATGCTCAGGGAAGAAGTATAAAACACACATAGAAATTTGTTTTTTAAAAGGGTATTTTTAGGCCTCCTGAATGTTTTGAGGACAGAAATAGCACTCTGGACATGTGTGTAGCTATAATATGCACATGCAGGTCCATTCCCACCTGGAATACTGTGTGCAGTTCTGGTGCCCTCAACGTAAGAAGGACGTGGAACTGCTGGAGCAAGTCCAGAGGAGGCCACGAAGTTGCTAAGGGCATTGGAGCATCTCCCCTGTGAGGACAGGCTGAGGGAGTTGGGGCTGTTCAGCCTGGAGAAGAGAAGGTTGTGTGGAGACCTCAGAGCACCTTCCAGGAGCTGAAGGGGCTCCAGGGAAGCTGCAGAGAAACTCTTTGTTAGGAGCTGCAGTGACAGGACAAGGGGCAATGGATTCAAATTGAAGGAGGGGAAACTTAGGTTAGATATTAGGAAAAGTTTTTCCCTGTTCTGGTGGTGAGACACTGTCCCAGGTTGCCCAGGGAGGCTATGGCTGCCCCAACCCTGGCAGTGTTCACAGCCAGGTTGGATGAGCCTTGAGCAACCTGCTCTGGTGGGAGGTGTCCCTGCCCAGGGCAGGGGAGGTTGGGACTAGATGATCTCTAATGTCCATTCCAACCCCTAAAATTCTATGATTTTATCATTTTTAATCAGAGTGTGTCAGTATGTTCCTTGCTTTTTGCATTTATCCACATTTCCCTCTCCCTGTCCTAATGAGCTGTTCTCTTCCCAAAGCTTACATCCGGTCTAACCAGATCATGGGCTGGGGAGAAAAGGCGATCGAGATACGATCGGTGGAAACTGGACACTTGGATGGTGTGTTCATGCACAAAAGGGCACAAAGACTCAAATTCTTATGTGAACGCAACGACAAGGTACAATCCTCTCACCTCCTGCTTGTTACCCAGATGATAAATGTATACTTTAGTTGGCTTCTTGGGCTGGGGTGGTCCTGACCAGCAGCCAAACACCCACCCAGCCTCCAGCTCTCCTGCCTCTCCCATGGAATGGGGAGAAGATAGTAAGGCAAAAAGTCTCATAGATGGAGATGAAGTCAGTTTGATAAGACAGCAGAAGCTGTGCATGCAAGCCAGACAAAATAAGGAATTAATACACAACCTCCCACTGGCAGGCCTAGACACTTTGCACATGTCATGCTTGCTTGGGAAGACAAATGTCATCCCCACAACATCCCCCCTGTCCTCTCCCTTTCCCTGAGCTTTTATTGCTGCACATGATGCTCTGTGTTACAGGACATCCCTTTGGTCAGTTTGGGTCAACTGTCCCAGCATTGTCCCATCCCAATCTCTTGTCCATCCCAGCCCACTGGTCTTTTAGGGGGGAGGGGGATGGAGAGAAGGCCTTGCTGCTGTGCAAGTATTGTTCAGCAGTACCAGAGTACTGGTGTTAGCACCACTGTAGTAACCACAGATGCAAAGCCCAACAGCATCCAGGTCACTGTGGAGAATGTCAACTCCATCCCCACCAGAGCCAGCCCAGCACTGCAATTGCACTGCAGATATTGGGGCCACTGCTGCCCTTCCTGTTGACTTTGCCAATCTCTTTTCCCTGCAGGTTTTCTTTGCCTCCGTACGGTCAGGTGGAAGCAGTCAAGTTTATTTCATGACCCTTGGCAGGACTTCTCTTCTGAGCTGGTAGAAGCGTTGGGATTTGGCGAGGAATTGCTGACATCCAGAGTCTGAGATCTTCATAACTTGGAATTACTTTCAACTGGAGTACAGACCTGCACGAATGCAGCACTCTGTGTAAATGTGTGTGCAGGCATCACTGGTGTTAGGTTTCTTTATGTTTTGCAACTGAGGCTGCGCCGCAGCTGGTGCTGTAAAGATATTGCCATCAGGTGCTACAATGTCTTTGAGATTCGGGATCACGCTAGAAAGCTTCAGGTCTTCTTTTCCCTTCAGCTCCAGGATTCCTAGGCCTTGAAGGACTCTGTTTGTTAGTGGTAAAACAGAGAAGGGGAAAAAAAAGGCATAAAAAACAAACCAGGCTTACCATGAACATGCTGTTTGTTGAGTGGACAGGAGGCAAGAGAAGGTGAGAAGTGGTGTAGAGAGTCAGACTGGCTGAAACAGAGGGCAGATCTAGTCTAGTAATGTTAACAATGTATTTAATTGACATTTCTTTTTTGTAATGTGACAATATGTGGACAAAGAGGAAGGTGCAGGTTTTAAGAAGTTAATATTTATAAAATGTGAAAGACACAGTGACTAGAATAACTTCTTCTTGGGGACAGGGTGGGTGGGAAGGGGCTCGGGGTGGAATTCTTAGGGGTTTTTTTTGTTTGTTTCTGCAGTTTTATTTTGGCCTGGCCAATAACTTTAGTCATTTTTCTGTGTACCAGGTGTTGCCTGAAACATGTGCAGATGATAAAAAAAAAAAAAAAAAGGAAAAAAAATTCATTTTCTATAATGATTCTGTGTTAGGCCAGAACTTGGTTATGTCACAGTATTAGCACTGCCTCAGTTAAAGGTTTAATTTTTGTTTAAACCTAGAAGTGCAACAACAGTTTTACCACAGTCTGCACTCGCAGAACTAAAAATAAAGAAAAAAAAAGGAAAAAAAAAGGAAAAAAAAAGAGAAATAAAAATCCAAACTACATATGTTTATTTTTTGTGCCTACCTCATTGTTTTTAATGCATAAAATAAAAGAGGTGGTTTAGTTTATACGTTTTTAGATGAAAACCATTAATGTCTAATTTAATCTTAATACCAAAACTACCAGATTGAAAGGTTTCTGACTGTTATTGCATAG